TACACCTCTTGACATAAGCCATATTGAACTACCTCAAAATTAGATAATGAATTTTGTACGGATGTATTGATAAAACGCGCCATCGGCTTGTGGAAAAAAGGCAAACGAAAACTGTTCTGAGCGGCTTCTCAATAGTTCCTAAAAAGGAAGAACAAAATTACACCGAAAAAATTAAAAAAAAAAATTTGAAATAGTTTAATGTTAAAAAAAAAATATTAAAACTGTTCTGAGTAGGCTTTTCATAGTCCTAGAATTCCCGGAACCGAAAAAAAAGAAAATTACCCAGGAAAAACATTTTATCCATAATAGTCAGAAAGTTTAATTGAAAAAAAAAATTAAAATATTTGTTTTTACAAGCTTTTATCACCTGTGTGTTATCAAATCTTACAATCATTTTTAAGCCAACTTCGCCAGGTTCAAATCCCAGTGAACTCGATATAGACGTCTGATAAGGATATATTGTGATCTCGGAAATATCAGCTATAACTTCTTCCTTTGTAACTTATTGTTGTTTTTCCGCAACATTTTGCATTTAAAAACGGTCTCAAGCTCAATAAAATGGTTGAAGATACATAAGTCAGCAGTATTGGCTAAAAATATATTTTTGTAAACCAAAAAGGTGAAATACTGACTTCTCGGCCGAGCTAGGGTTAAACGACCTTATTGATCTGCGGCCGTCGTAGTCGGGTGGTAGTTAAGAGGTCTTTCGGATCCTAGTTCAAAGCTTTTCTGAGCATCATTCAAAATATAATTCTTGCTGACTCGGTGGCGCTTCCGCAGGCAGTGAGACTTCTATCAGGGAAAAGCCTCTTACAAAAAAAAACTTTTATCATTCGGAGAAGCCATTCAATTGTTGGCCCCTTAATTGTGTAGCAACATCAAGCAGCACACTACTAACTGAAAAAGAAGAAGTTTCGTTTTTATTGATCGATTTTTACAAACGCATATATATACAAAGCAATAAAAACAATAACCAATAAAAATAAAATTGAGCAATGAAAAGGTGTCAACTGTTAGATGCTAAATAATTAGTAGCTTTCAGAAAGTTTGTTACATAACCGCTATGACTTGCATAAGATGGGTCATCCTGCATATGTATAAACGAATTAGTGCGCACGGTACATGTATGTGCAAAAGGGTGGTCCAACAATGAATGTGAAAAAGTTAAGTCGGAATTTGTATACTCTCACCCGTAGGATTGTTCTATACCGAAATAATATACTCCTAATTTTTGATTTGAAATCAAAAAATATTTAGAGGTCGCTCAAAGCTCTCACTCCATTGGCCAACATTTTAATGCCTAAATATGTACCTGAAGTTTTTAAATTGCCATTTTAAGTTCTAATAGCAAAAAATGTATGGTCAGTTATTAAATGACCAAAAGTATCCAGTGTTTAAATAACCAAAGGTTCGTGGCCCGTTTTCAATTGGGAAATATTTATGCTCTGTTTTTAAGAACAAATTTAATGGCCAATTTTATTGTTACAAAAATGTATGTCTGGTTTTTAAATCTATATATTAATATGATAATATAAATTTTGTCTGCGTTGGTTTGGCGATCCAACCGAACCGATTTCAAAACCAAGAGCACCATTTTTGAATTCTCCCCATTCCATCATTTGAGTTTGACGCATTATATGGAAATAATTTGACACGTTGCGGTTCTAAATTTCACATACTTCAGACCAGGATCATTTGTTTGACGACCCAGGGGTTTTTATTAAAAACATTGGTTATGGAGAAATTGTTGCCCTTTAGTACTCAAAATCTCCTTAAAAAAATCACACTTAGTGCCCTTGGGGTTATAAAATGAGCCGCGTTCGTTTAGTTAATTTTTTAACAAAACATGAATTTTTTAACTTTAAACAAACCATAACATGTTTTATCGTATAAAAAAAGTCAATAAGTTCTTTTCTTCTGAAATAGAATCGGTCACAGAGTGACCCAAATACCTTTTTCATATGGGTCACAGAATGACCAGAAGGGCAATTATTTTTTTTCAAACGAAAATAAATAAAGGTATAATCCACTTAATTTTTTCAAATAACTTTAAAATTTATGCACTGGGCTGCGAGGAAAAAAAATTTGAAATTACATTTAAAACGAAAATTGAGTTTGAAGTCGCAAATTTACTAGTGGAAAACAACTATACTGAGGGAAGAAATAGTAAAATCAAACAAAAACGTATTTAATCTTACTAAAAACTCTATGAAAGTACTATATCCATAATGGAAAGTGTTTAATTCGTATACGCCCATATTAAAATGAAGCATTTTATACTTTACGGATGACTTTTTGCACTTCACGGATGCTTTTTCATAATTAAGATAAAACCAACGAAAAATTGTTTTTATTTATTTATATGGCAAAGCACTCGCCTGATATGCCTGAGGTCCCAGGTTCAAGTCCTGACGCAGGGAATATTTTTTTTGTGTAAAATATTTTTAATGCATCTTTTTTAATTAGTTTTTTTATTTAGGGGTTTTATTGTAATTTTTAAATTAAATTTAATAAAATTTTTTTTTTTCTTTTTTTATGGCACAAGCATTTCTTCCCTTATGTATGTTTTTTCTGCAATGCAATTAGGATTTCAAATTTGTTATTTATATCTAAATTGAAATATCTAATTATTCTTACTTAAATTGATTTAACTTCAAACATCTTAACCACCTCCAATTGGCTTGGAACCTGAGATCTCAGAGCTAAAACCACTACACCCAGAAAAAATACGCTAAAAATATTTTTATCAACACATGATTTCGTAACTATAAACAAATAATGTAACTATGCATAACCAAATCATGTGATGAGGAAAACATATTTAGTTGACGTAACTAAACTATTTTCTCAGTGTGGTCTTCACGTGACACCACATCCGGCATTTGTAAGAAAAGCAGTTAAATGCGTTTTATTTTTGGCTTCGGCAATTCAAAGGCAGATGTCGCTGAACGCTTAAGTTCTTCGAAATTGTCGAACTGATAGGTGCATTTCAGTTAACGAACTAGTATTTTTTTTATTCTTTTCACTGCAGGGCATGTACTATGTTATATGTGTGTGTTTACACAATTGTCACCTCTGTGTATACATATACTTTCTTAATTATGAAAAAGCACCCGTGAAGTGCAAAACGCCATCCATGAAGTGCAAATCGCTTCATTTCACTATTTTGTTTTTTAATAGTTTACTATTTTCCCCCTCAGTGTATACTGAAATACATACGTGTGTGCTAAATTTTGGTATGAAAGTATTATCTTTAAATACGAACACTTTTAAACTATAATCCAATAAAGAATATTAATTTTTACTACGCATTATTTCCCTCAGTGTAAGCGAAGAGTTTTAACTGCTACTCCTCCAATAATAAGGCAGCAAAGTACTAAGTTATATGATGCACTAAAAGAGGTGAAGCAGATGTTGCGTTTGTGGTACAACACAATGATCAACTATACTCTATTCATATAATACATACATACAGACATATGTACATATGTTTGTGTGTCTCTAGGAGTGTTGCATCTAAAGCTTGATTGATGATTATATTTAACAATTGGGAAGAAAAGCGTTACGTAACATAGCTAAGGTATATTTATTACAACATATATATATTTATGAAAACAACCACTAAAATATTTCTGGTACGCAATAAATGTGGAGACAAAATACAAAAAAAACAAAAAAAATTAACAGCCGTAAATATAATAGTTGGTCTGTGAGGATGATACATAACAATACATAGGTATAAAAAGCGGATATGAACTACGCAAAGTATGAGTATCGGCTTGGAATTCGCATGCATGCTACACCTTGCCCATATAAATAAAACTTGAGTTATTTGAAAAATAATTCTTTTTCAATTTATGTCGCTTTTGAAGACCACAGAATGTATAGTCGACATAAACTTGTGGCAAAGGGCAAAGCTGCATTTTTTAGTAAAAATTTCATACAACTTTCACTCATCTTTTTGAGCCCCGCCAGCAATTGAACCAGTTCGAAATGACTAACTCTATGAAAACAAGTTTATTTTGCAGGGAAATAAATATCAGTGAAATTGCGTTAATTGTATGACTTTATTGCAATCAAAAGTAAATCCAATTTGGTTTTGTAAAATAAAACAAAGATGTAAAATTACCACCGACAACGGAAATGCTCATAATTTTTTTTTAAATTGCACTATTGAATTGGATATCAGCATGAAATCTAACTCAATAGATTGTTAGGTTATTTGTTTAGTATTTTCAAGCAAAACTGATTAAGGAGCAGGGCTCATTACAGCGACAGGTTTGTGAATTATATCATTCGTATAAATAAGTGCATAGATATGTACGTCCATACCAGCATATGTACCTGCAAATGTAATAATAAATATAGTACGTGAAAAATTTATCCTCATTTCCGATTATGTAAGTTTTGCCAAATCCATTCATACAAAAACAGTTAAAAACACGCGCATACGTACATACGTACAGTCAGCGTCAAAAATATTAATACCCTGACATTTTGATGATGTTATTTATTTATATTTTCCATACAAATTTTCGTTATATTTTTTTAAAAAATATAGCTTATTCAACAGCAAAAACCAGCAGAATAAAATTCTTTCAATTTCACATAGAACTCGGGTAAAATCAAGAAATACTAAAAATGTTCATCAAAATTTTGAACTAGAGATCCTTAGAAAAATTTTGGGTATGCAGTTTTGTAGCCCATTGAATTCTAGTCAAATAAGGTGCAAGTTTAAAGCGGGGCTTCGGAGCAGGTTTTATTTTCATTGCTGCGCTCTAACTCCTCTCCGGTATTTTGTTTCGCTACGAGCTCCACTCCCAATAAAAAACTTTTTTTTTTCAATTAGCTGACTTTTTTAATGTTATTTTTGATGCGGAACATACATATGTATGTACAGCTATTTATATGATCCTAATGTATTTTATATTGTAAATGAAATGGTAGATATTAATCCAGCCAGAAAAATAAAAAAGAACTGCGGATTTTTGTCCGCTTACCGATTCCATTTTTGGATACTTTGACGATCTGTTTTTCCAGTAAAGTGTGCGGAAAAAATCTATTTGCAGACAATAAGTCAAAACTTTTTTTGAAACGGATACGTTTTTGTCTGTTTTTAGGATTTTCTTTTTTGAAATTTTTGTTCAATATGCTTTCCTTCTGCACTTCTCAGGTGCCTTTTCATGGTTCGAAAAAAATAGGAAGCGCCTGACGGTATTCGAATTCGACACCTAACACATATGTACTACTACGCTCAGCCTCTGCTGACTACGTAAACATGCTCTCAAATGTTTAGCTAAAACAAATAAAATATGAATATTGCTTTAAAATAACATCATTGATTGTAGTCGTTTTCCGTTCGTTTTCGGATACAGAGAATTGTACGAGACGACACTGTCGGCAAAATTTACGTTACTCTATTGGCTGAAGAGTCTATATATTTCATCGCCGTTCAAATTGACGTAGCTGGGCATTTAATTTTCTTTAAGAAGCTAAGAACCAAATGAATTTTTTAGCTCAGCTCCGCTACAGCCAAAATTCTTTGCTCCTTAGCTCCTTACTCCTTTGTTGCGCTCCGAAGCCCTGGTTAAAAGTCTTTAAAAATTACCATTGATTTTTGAGATTTTTTTTTTCAAGGGTATTTCGAATTTTCTTTCATATAAAGCATGAACGAAATCTATTTTTATATGGAAGAAAATGAACTTGCACTTTGTTTTACCAACATTTAAGGGACTAAGAAACTGTACTTACAATTCTTTGATATTTATTTTAATTTCCCCAGTTCTATGTGCAATTGAAAAAAATGATTCTGCTACCCAGCAGAATGTTGCATGAACTATATTTTTATAAAAAAAATAAGTAAAATTTGGTACGGAAAATAAAAAAAAGAAAATATAAGTTTAAAAATGATGGCTAATTTTTTACTTTTTGTATGAATGACTGCGACTGCGATTTGAATGCATTTCTGTTCCTTAGTTATTTGTTTATTCGTTTTGTAATTAGCTTTTCATACTCATATAAAATAAAGATATTATTTTTTATTCTCATATTCGCACTAAAGCTAGTCTATAAAACTATTTCGTTAACATATTTAAATTAATGGTAATAAATACCCGGATTCAAAAAATGTTCCGGGATTGGATGCCTTAGTCAGGGTATTCATATTTTTGACGCTGACTGTACATGTAAAGGCACTTCATGTATCCCACTCACGCAATCACCTCTGGAGTACCTCTCAGTCATCGCTTTGAAATTGAGAAAGTCCACTCATATGTTTAACGATTTGACGTTTCGTTTGATTGAAGTGGCAAGTAAGCGTTGTAGTTTTGTTGTTTGACACACCCTCATTTAACAAAAGCCTTTGTGCGCAGAAAATGGTAGCAAAACAAAAGTAAGAAATTGTTACGTAACTTCTTATTCGCATGCTGAGATCATTTTAATATTGCTTGAGGGGCACATTAATCAAATTTTTCAATGAGTTAATATCGCCTTTTGCTTATTTTCATAGTGACTAGCTAACTCTCGCCAAGCAGTGTAGGTATTATCGGTTTTTAATACAAAGCACTTAGGACGAAAGCTCATCGAACCGTTCAAGTACTTTTTAGGTCTATGTAACAAATACTTACATATATACTTCACTAACAGAAATGGGTGTCCTATCTACTTCTCTTTGGAATGTGCCCGGCGACTTCTTCTTGGTGTGTCTTCACGCATTGCGTTTGGCAATAATAGCGTAATCTTAGAGTTCTTTGCGATAAAATGCCGAAATGTTCCAAACAAAAAAAGTTTTTTTTATTAGGTAAACAAATATTTTTACTAAGCATTTAGTTTCTTTGTACCTATTCATCAAATTTCCTAATTGCTCCTTAAAACCCAAACCAGTGAAAAACCTCAAATTAGAAATTCATTGTGTTAAGCCCACCTTTAAATTCAAATGCAAACCCAAAAATTTAGACAAAAGATCAACAGAAAACTAAAGACCGCAAAACCGCAAGAAATTTATAAAATTTAAACCCGTAGAAATTAAATAAGCGAATGTGACGAGAAAATGCCTGATCATCGTTGCTTAGTAAGCACTTACATATGCACATTAGGGTGGTCCAAGAATAGTGTAGTCGGATTTTTAATGCTCTTACCCCCTACGATTGTTCTATATCGCAAAAAAGTATACCCTTATTTTTTATTTTGAAATCATAAAATATTTAAGGCCGCTCAAAGCGCTCAAAAATTTTTCATGTATTTTGTATGAAAAAAAAACTTTCGTAAAAATGGTATAGAGTTCCTGGAAGTCAACATTTTTTGTTCGAAAAACTCAGGTTCTCGTCAGGAGACTTCTAGTAATAATACCCAATTGTTTATTTAGCCATTTTTTAGTACTAACGATTTTTATTAAAAATGGTAAAATAAACAATTGGATGTTGTTATTGGGAATTTCCTGCAGAGGAGCGGAGTTTTCCGAGCGAAAATATTGATTTTTAAGAATTCGATACCATTTCTACGAAAAGTTGTTTTTTCCCCATATAAATTACTTGGGAAAACTTTAAGCGACTTCTAAACATTTTTTCAAAATAAAAGATAGGGGTATATCTTTCGGTATCTAGGGGGTGAGAGCGTAAAAATTCCGACTTTACTTTTTCACATGCATTTTTTGGACCATCCTAATGTACGTGCATACATAAACTGTGCAGAGAGCCAGACAAAGATATTGGCGTGCTTTATTTGAAGACAAGAAAACAAACATAGACCGCAGAACCACCTACACAATGACACTTAAAAATATTTTAACAAAATTTCCAAGAGGACTTTTTCATTAAAAAGATATTTTTATTGTTATATTCACAGTTTTATTTTACGTAGGCTCGCATTTATTATTTTTGTACTTTTCAAATTTGCCTTTTGGCGCATTTATCACTTACAAATCACCATTAAAACGATGTAGAAGAGATGCATACATACATATGCACATGAAAACAAAAATTAAAAAAAGTAGCTCGTAAATGGTTGAACGCAGTAACTTATTATGCATTTTCTTTGGGGCTTTTGTGAACACCCTAAGTGAATCACCGTTTGATTATTTGTTAATCGTCTGACTCTACGTTTTATAGTTTTTTAACAACTTTTTGTTCAACACGAGTTTGATTTTGACATATAAAGTTATTTGCTTATACACTTAAAAAGCTGCTGCCGCCACATCTCCAAAGACAAAAAACTAGATACTACGGAGGAATGCCAGCAGTTAATAGTTTTTGTTTTCTGCTTTTTCAGCTAATTTTATGAAGAAATTGAAATTACCACAACTCATTTGTTAATCGTAAACTTTCATTTCAACTTCATTTTTTGGTTGATTAAAAGCTTTGATTTTATTTTCGGTATCCAATTAGTGATTTGAAATTTAATATGTAAGAAACTTTACCGGTAAATCAACCGAATAGAGTTGAGGGCAGTTTATGTAAGAAGCAAAAGTGAAAATTTGATATATGTATGTAAATATTTAAATTTAAAAAACAAAAACTTTAAAGGTTACTCAATATAAATATAATAAACTTAATCTATTAATTCTAAGATATATTTTTAACCGATTTTCAAAACAGTCCTCAAATGCATTGTTTATGTTTCAATCAGGCATAGGAAATAAATGTAAATTATAGATTTTGAAATCAAAAAGGCTCAGGGCCGTTTTCTCAACACGAATTTTATTCTCAATAAATGTGTTTGAAGGGCAGATAAGTTTTAAAAGCTTCTTCAAAAAAAAAAAAAACAACCCTACGTGGAATGATGGGTTTTCTTCGAAGATTCTAATGATACCCATCTCTTTGTAGAATTTGATTTTGTCATTACTTAGAGTACTTGGCTTTTCGTGTTTTCTACAAAAAATACCGATTAATTATTTAAATTTTTTTATCGTATTTTATGTTGTTGGCATTAATAAAAAATGAAATACTTAGAGATTTTTCGGTGACTTTTTAAGATATTTTTCGGTATCGTTCAGGATTTCTCCTTAACATTTGGGGTCTCGTCCTGCTTTACTATTTGGCGTTATCTGGAGCCATTTGGGAATTATCCAACTCCAAATCTCCAAGGCTTTAGGAGAAACAAGTGGGGCTTAAAAAAAATCGGATCACCTTATTTTCCATTTTTATAATTTTTGGGATAGCAGCAAAAAAAGTTCAACAATTTTACTATCCTGTGTATGTTTTTATTCACCCTAATGTACATTGCACATATAGATATATGTATGTATTTTCGCACATATGTACATATTTACTGTAAAAATTTGCATTTCAAAACAATTAGCTTTGGCATCTTCGGGTAAAATTTGCTAATGACTTTTACTGCAGTTTGTCTATCTGTTGACATGTGTGTAATTTGTTTTTGTTTTTACCTTACACATCATACAATCAAATCACTTAAACAATGAAATATTAATTTTTTATGCAGTTTTTTGAATATTACACAAATTTTTGTTACTCTTTAGCTAAACGGCTGTTTGCATAAATTTTCCGCTATTGCACTCTCAGTACCTTTGTTATAAATGCGTATTAATATTAGGTATTTTACATATTTGATTATGCTCATTTACTAGTCTGTAAAGTTGAAACAGATTTTGTTAAAGAATAAACCACTACTATATATGTATGTATATTTATAGGAAAAACTTAAATTAAATAACAAAAAATTTCTTGTTAAAACTTGCCAATCTGTTGCGTGCTTATAAATTTTGACACGGAATGTACGACGATGGTATACTACTCTTCATTTCTTTGTTTATTGTTTTCCCTTTGTTTTTTTGTTACTAGCTTTCTTAATTGTTTACGCACTGAATTCATAGCGTTAGTTTCCACAATTTAACCAGAAATGTATCCTTTAATGGTTTTTATTTATTTTTGATTTTAATCGAAACGACTGATCAATCGGTTAATTTCCTATAATTAATTGCAATTAATAATCGAATGCTTTTGATTAATCAATTAACCTATTAATCGATTATAAAATTTTGTTTGTGATCACT